TTATTAGATTTTTTACCCCGCTCCCCTAGACAAAGTCTACTAGGGGCGGCTTACATGGATAAAAACACAACAATATGATATGTACAAAACCGGAAAGTTTCTTTAAATGGTGTCTCTGGATTATAAGAGAACCAGAGCTGAAATGTCTTTCTGAGGACAGAGAGGGTCCATAGGTCGGGAATTGCTCCTGAAAAGCACCTGTCAATTTGAAGCACCTGTGTGACCTCCAGGAGAACCCTCCAGTTGATCTCAGGGGGTCATTGGTTAAGGAGAATGAAAATGCATATGTTACGAGATTGTTACTTCAGCGGAGGGGGGGCTTTCTAGATGACGTATAGATTTGAGAGTGTGCAATGAATATATAGGCACGTTATTCATTTCAATTCCAATAATCTTTTTCTTTGGATAGCATTTGTGTTGCAAGTTAATTGCTCAGAGCTCTAACACACAATATTTTATCTTGGGGAATACTTGTTCTACAAACCGACTCCAAAGCAACTCCCACATCCATTGCAGTGGTGAATGATGTGTAATATAGTATTGCACAAGTGTCTTAGGTATTTATTATTGGATTGTATTTGCATTTTGAGAGCGTCAAATTATATTCTTATCTTTCCCTTTTGTAGAAAATGAATACTTACTTGCTTCATTAAAGCAGGGAAATGCATAAAACTTGCAGTATAAATAATGTTTATGTCTACACACAGTACATAATTTCTGCTGGCCAGAATCATATTCTTTGTACTGACACAAGTACGGCAGTGTAAATCACTGTTGACAGATTGCTGCTAGTTAATTTTACTGTATATATATATACCGCCCATCTGGTAGCCAAGGCCACTCTGGTTGGTTTACAACAAAGTAACAAAATAGCAAATAGTGACATTAATATGTAGGGGTGAAAATCAAAAATCATAAAGTGAAGTGAGGATAAAATTATAATACAATAAATACAATTATAAACATAGAAGAAAATAGTTAAGGAGGCCCTGCTTGTATTTGCCATCATGAACTAAGTCATGTAACTGACATGCAACAAGGAATGTAAGCAGTGTCTCCTTATTTGACGGCAATTCACCTTTGCCGTTCATGCTGTTGTACTTACCTAGGTGTAAGCAATAGGATTCTGATTGCTGTGTTCAGTAGGACCGATTTCCAGTTAGGTATTCATAGGGTAATAGCTCTGAAAAAGGTTGACAGAACTAAGACTACCTTCTTCAAAATCAATTAGGAGTCAAGTATTGATTCAGACATATGTATTGCTATTTGGCTGCTTTAAAGTGTACTCACTATATAATAAATAACCATGTGTTGTCAAATTAATTCCTACTTACAGCAGCCCTTTCCAGGGTTTCTAAGTATCATGAAGTCTGAAGTGGTTTATAATTCCCTTCTTTTATTTATTTAATTTATTTGAAATATTTTTAGTTCGCCTTTCTCCTAAGAAAAAGGAGAAAGGCGAAGGTGGCTTACAGCACTGAAAGACAATATTTAAAGCTAAAAACAGTGACTATAAAGAGGCAGCTTATATCATTGCTTGGGGGTTGCATAGGGTCACCCTGGAACTGTACAGTTTGCTCAAGACCACACAGGCTGGTTTTTTACTTTCTAGCCTAATATTCACTGTAAACTACTTGAGAAATATTCTTAGCATATGTCTTTTTGTTTGCAATCGTTTTTGTTTGTTTGTTTTGTTTTGTTTTTGCTTTTTGAATTACCTGGGATCAGCATATAGCACAACTAGAACTGGATTTGGGGTATATTTTAGAAGCTGAAATGCTGATGCAAGATTCGATGTAGGGATACTTTGGCTTTTGTATTTCATTCACAAAGTCATTTGTCAGATTTTAGTTTCCTTTACTGGATGACAGCAGCCACAGTAACAGCGAGAGGGAGATTGTCAGATTCTGTTATCAGTTGTCAAATCAGAAAAATGATTGTGACGCAAATTATATATATATAAAAAATAAGACAGGTCGTGTGACCACTGCTTTTATGATGTGAACAAATCCTGTGCCTCTAAGTCTCATTCATGTTCTCCTCAAGGTCTGTATTTGAAGAGTTAACAAGTTCATTGATCGTACTAAGCATTTGTGTACACAGAATAAAGAACAGGTCATTCAGCACATGACAGGCAGACAAGTTGAAAACCTGAATAACAAACGCAAGTATGGGCCTTTTTACTCGTAGTTCTGAGCCATTGGAAGCAGGTCAATGCAGCCAGGCAAAGTTTTCTCTGTACCCCTTTCCTTCTGCACATTTCATCATTCATTAAGCTACTATATTTTGCACTGATGTAAACAACGAAGGTCTATGAGATAGAGAAGACAACCCTTGCAATAATCGATCTTACCAGTCTTTGGGGGTAGCATTTAGGTGAAAGGATAATGGCACCATAAAATAAAGAAGCTGTTGTTGCAGATTTCATTTTGTTGTTGATTATGATAGAATTCTTTGAAGCAACAGGCCAGAACTTGTTCTTTCATATCATTCTACCCTAATATGTTTGGTAATAGGCAGGAAATCTGCTGGGACACCAAGCCTATTCTAAAAGTTTAATTATGTAGAAGAAATACTTCTCAAATAGCCCAGATTATCTGAAGTGTTGCAGGAGAGTCCTGAAAGCCAGAAAACGAAGCAGGAAAGAGACAAATTTGCTTGCTTCTTGTTTGTTGTCTGTGTTCAAGCACAATAAATAAATGTTCTGTAATAGAAGAACAAATTCCACTTTAAATATTGCTTCTTTCTGCAATAACAGGAGTCAACAAAAATAAAGTCTATAGTAGTAAAAGCATGTACGTGATTTTGGGAACAGAGCCAGAGAACATAATATATGATTTGATCCAGTGTTTGCATGGTGGATCACTTGGAAACCATATGAAAGGCCACTCTGAGATGTTTGGAACAAGAACGGTATAAGTGTGATAGATAAACAGTTAATGGATCGTTTGGTAGATTTAAATTTCCTGATTTTTTTTAAAACTTGCATTCAGATAGTTATCCTCCTCCTTTTAATATAATTTGTATCTCCCTCCCGTTTGCAGGCTTTCTTATTTATTTATTCAGTTTGTATCCTGCCTTTGATCCTCAAAGTGGCTAATGATAATAAAATACAATTTTAAAAGAGTCTTGGTGAAACTTGATGAATTAAAACACAACAGTTGGGAGTTTTTAAAAAAGGAAACTACAGTAAATACATCCGTCAGCAACAAACCCATTTACATGGCAAAGACTTGGTTGACTAAAACATATTTCCCTAATGGTGGAAAAAAGAGAGCGAGGGAGCAAGGGAAGTGGCTTTTCCTCAGCAGAGAGTTCCAGAGCCTTAGAGTGGCCTCCACCACCCGGGCCCTTTCTTGTGCCGGCACTGACTATGCTTTTGATGATAATGGGACTGAGATAAGGGCCTCTTACAAACCTCTTATAATCCAGGCATGCTTCTGATCAAGAACTCTGGGAATCCAGTTGTTAACCCCTAGTATTTCTTGAGAGACAATGTGGTGTAGTGGGT